TCTCCCCCCCCCCCCCCCACACAGTCTGGTACCTGAGGCGGCCGCCTCAGTTCACCTCATGGTAAGGCCAGCCCTGGATCTGTTGCTTTTCAGGAAATCCTATGGTCCATTGATATCCAGATCCTCAAAGGTATTTAGGTGCCTAACTCCCATGGGACTAAGTGCCTAAAGTTCATTTTTGAATATGGGACTTAAATTCCTAAGGCATGTAGCAGTTCTTAGGCCATAGAACTGTGATGAATGTTCATGTTTCAGAGGTTTATTTTCACTCATAAGATTCTCTCAGTTACCGAAATCCAGCTTTTCTTCCAAGGAGATGGACTAACGTCTCCCTTGCTATCTGGCAAATTGTTCCTGAAGGCATTTGGCCAAAGCCATCCCTAGGTTACAGCAAATCGAGGCAACTGCCCTGGGCTCTGCCCTTTGGGAGCCCTACAGTTCGGTGCTAGAGCAGTGACTGAAAGCCACCCCCACCAGAATCTCCCCTCTTCATTCCCCAAATGCCTTCTGCCTGTTGGTGGCCCTGTTGATCAGCTCCTCCCCTTTGCTCCCACCACCTGGCAAGGATCAGATGCTTTGTGGCATCAAGATGTGCTGAGGGGGAGGGGAAAGGAGCGGGAGTGAAGTATGCTCATGGGAGAAAGGGGAAGAGCCAGGCAGGACAGGAAGAAGTGGGGTTGGTGTGGAAAGAGGCGGGCCTGTGCAGGACATTGGGGGAGAGGGTGGAGTCAGGGAGTGGCCTGGGCAGTCCTGTGGGGGAGCATTCCAGTAGAAGAAACCTGGCTGCTATGTCCTGGGCCGCACACTGCCCTAGAGACAGCCCTGCATTTGGCTGTTGCCTAGGGGAGCTTAGGATGGGTTGTGCTTCCTGCTGCAATATCCTAAGTGATGGTGTGTCAAGTTCCCCTGTCCATAATGTGGCTTGATTGAGGTGCTGAACAGTTTGTATAGTGGGAAGTACTAGGACCTGTTGCAGACTGCAAATCTGTTTATATGTATTAATGTGTGTCTGTCTTTCTGTCTGTGGGTACATCTAAACTACATGGCTCCGTCGACGGAGCCATGTAGATTTGTTTGTTTGGCGAAGTCAAATGAAGCCGCGATTTAAATGATCGCGGCTTCATTTAAATTTACATGGCTGCCACGCTGAGCCGACAAACAGCTGATCAGCTGTTTGTCCGCTCAGCGCGCTAGTCTGGACGCTCCCCTGCCGACATCAAATCCCTTTGTCGGCAGCCCCGGTAAACCTCATCCCACGAGGAATAACGGGGCTGCCGACAAAGGCTTTGATGTCGGCAGGGGAGCGTCCAGACTAGCGCGCTGAGCGGACAAACAGCTGATTAGCTGTTTGTCGGCTCAGCGCGGCAGCCCTGTAAATTTAAATGAAGCCGCGATCATTTAAATCACGGCTTCATTTGACTTTGCCTATGTGTCTAATCTACATGCCTCTGACGACAGAGGCATGTAGTCTAGACACAGCCCCAGAGTCCATTTGGTCAAAAACTAAATAGTAAGAGCTAAGGTCACCAAGTTCAGTATGTAGTTTCCTCTTCTCCTTATGTAAAGCAAGGTCAGGATTTGGGTTGTGCCAGGACAATGGGAAGCCCCAGGAAAATAACTGTTTTCCATAACATGCAATGGGGTGCTTGGAAGGGAGTTGCTGTTCAGAGGGATGAGATACTTAGAGTGGCCATTGGGGCAACAAGCCCACAGAGAGCTAACCTGCAGAGTGTCTACTGGGGGCAGCCGTACCACCAAGGGATTGGCCCAGCAAGGCTGGGGCTCTGCCATCTTGCCTGCCTGCACACCAGTAAGTAGCACCTACCCCAAATCCTTTTCTCCCCTCCCACCCCTGGGAGGGAACAGGCCCCTGGGGGACTTGGAGGGGGAGCTTTGGGGAAGGGGAAGATGAGGCCCTGGGCAGGCTGGAGTTGATGGCCTGATGGGGGTGGATGGGGAAAAGAAGGCCCTGAGTGGGGTGGAAAAGAACAGGCCCCCAGTAGACTGTGGGATGGCCTATTGGGGCAGGGGGAGAACAGGCCCGAGGCAGGCTGGGAGGGTGGCCTGGCATGGGTTCGAGGAAGAACAGGCCTCAGGTGGGCTGGAGGGTGGCCTGGCTTGGGGGGAGAATAGGCCCCAGGCTGGAGCAAGGGAGGGAGGGCAGTTGGGGGAGAGGAGAACAGACTTCTGGTCCCCAACCTCCTTCACCCTTCCCCCATCCCCAAAGCCATATCCTGAAGGGCCCGGCAACATTGGAGCATTCTGTTATTCCTGTATATGAGGGAAACCATTTTAAACTAGCACCCCAATTCCAGCAACTATAGGCTTGATACATACACATTAGTCAAATTTATTTTTTAAAATATTGCAAACTATATATCACTTCTCAGTATATTTGTTTCAGGCTGTTCAGGCTCTGGATTGTTATTGTACACCTCTGGAGCTCGTGTATCTGGACCAAGAATTTTAAATGGGCAAATCTATGCCTGGCTCATTAGCAGAAGGCTTAAGTACTCAGACTGAACCAGCTAAATAGAATTGCTTTAGGAAAAACTGAATCTGCTTTCAGATGTTCAGTTCATCTGATTTTGGACCACCAGGAGCATTGCTGTTTCCTTTTTTAACCATACTGTAATTAATTTACATTTCTCCCACTGTATGATCTCATAGTGTTCTGAATCTCACTTCAAGGATGATCAAGTGTTACCTCATCTCTAGGGGCATTTGCACAATACCAAACAGTCTCATATTTTTCATTTCTTTTTGTTTATGTTTTTGTTTGTTGCTCATTTCAGAAGACAGGCCAAGAACAGAACTAATCCTGTTTGTCACTGCTGCTTTTTTTCAGTGTTTATGTTACCATGAATCAGTGGCAACAAAGCTTTTCTGTCAGCACTCAACATTTTTTGTCCCTGTCCCAGATTAGAACCATACTAGACCTTGCTCGTGGTTAGAAACTGAATATGTGGCATTAAGTGTGAAACCAGTCCTGCAGTCTTCACGCATCCAAAATACTGACATCAGTGTGGCACATTGAGTATGAGAAAGGGAAGATGTTTATAATACTGGAATGCTTTTAATTTTGCTCTATTTGGCACCGAAAATTAAAATTACATAGAAAAGTGACTTTCCTGTTTAGAATCAGATTTGTTTTTGAAAAATTACTACCAACTTTGTAAACATTAAAATAGAAGCAGTAAAGATGTGAAATTTTGCACAGGGGATCTACAATGTTTGGATAATTATAAGCATATGGTTACTTTGCATGAGGTCTCTGTTATAGTTTTATTTACTAGTGCTTTGGGGAAACAGAGGTTCTCAAATTCAGTGTTTATTTACATGAATAGGGAATGTCACATTTCCCATTAACCTGTCATAATCTGTATTTGTGTTTCAGAACTCCAGCTATATAAACTAAGCTACCACTTTTACTGTGCTTGATAATTTGTTCAGCTATATTGCTAATGCAGACAGATTCTATTGTTTTTAATAACGTGCATCCTGCTGCCAAATCCAACATGGAGAATGACATATTGCCTTGTGTCATAGGGTGGCCTTGTATCATGATATATAGCTTTGTGTCATAGGATACCTATAGTGTCCTTTCCTAGGATGGGGTGGGTAGTTATAGGCCCACTAACTGGTGGGGGGCAAAAGAGGAAACTGAACCAGGGCCTGGTGATTCAAAGGGGCTCGGGGCTTCCAGATGCCACTCCTGGATTTGGGAGTGTGCCTCAGACAAATCTACTGCAAGCGCAACACACCCAATCCTGCCAATACTGAGGGATTAGGCCAGTGTTTCTTAAACTTTTTAAGACCGAGGAACACCAAACAATAATTTTTTCTTATGAGGAACACCAAGGATATTTTGTTGAGTTAAAAAAAAGAAAAAAAGGTACCGGGG